AAGACTGGAGGATGTTTTATTTTGTTTATCCTTGAAAGAATCGGTCACACTTATGTGATGTATTATATTATATACCCAGTCATCAACAACTTGAATATTAATATAATTTAATATCATACAATACAACAGAAGCAAAAAGGAATTTGTGTTTTAATATCACACAAAGTGTCATATCGCATCGTATCGTATCACCAAAAGTGTCTTCATTGCTTTTATTTAGCTGTAATATAATTATGAGAAAATATTTATCTATAAGATCATCTATCACATCCTGAAAAATACAGTGACAATGAAATAGTATTTGGTAATCATTAATCAACGTTAATCTGAGATTTTATTAATTGATTACTTAATTTTACAGGGTATGTATATATTACCGTGGGTGGAATTTCCGGTTCATCTGGAAATTAACTGGAAACTCCGTGGGCTGATCGATCACACAAAGCAGTCAAACGCCCACATTAGCTGACCACTATGTCCTAGCGCTATTTTATGTTTCATAACAACATATATAATATAATAACATTAAGTGTTATATTTTTTATGTCCATATAGAGTATATCTGATGTATTAAACACCAGTATTCAGGAAATATATGAATGATGAATTATAATAACAGCAGTAGCTTTAGCAGAAGTAGTTTCAGCTGTATAATGTGTCATAAAAAACATCTGGTGACTGGTAGCTGAATAAAAATAAAAATAAAATTACGTAATTCAAGTGCGTGCTCTGGGTACTTGATATAACGTGCATGACCTACCTGATATTCTTAAGCTCAATTCATAAAATGTTGGACAGTTTAAAAATAAAGTAATATAAGGAACAAGACAAGTTAAGTCCTTGAAGCTGGCTATTGTGCTTCCTGTCTACCAGTAGTTTAACTGTTTAGTTGTATGGATTAGTTTATTACATTTTTGTTGACGGCTAATGGTTGATGCCGAGACCCTGATAACTAATAGCTCAATAGGCCTTTATTTTATCACCATGAGCATGACCTAAGCAGTGAAGAAAATAGGATTAATGAATGTAAGATAGATATTCGTCTAACTTAAGTTAGACAGCTTACAATATAATGCAGCTGGATTCTTTAAAGCACAAGTTAATGGAGTATAATGTCTATGTACTCACCTATACTTGTGGATTTATACGTATACATACACTCTACTTGTATCAACACAAGTATCCAAGTCCAAGAATGAATGAAAAGACGATACGAAGGCGAAGGCGAATGGAGTTGAGTGGAAGTTGAGTTACCGAGAAATAAAAGCATCTTATATTCTATTCCACTGGAATCCCCTAAAGGCGAATAAATGGTATACGTTTAGTTGCTGAAAGTGATGTTGTGTAGGTGAAAAGAAAAGTGTGAGTTTTGGGGTAGCGTGAGAGAGTTTCACGAGTAGAGTGAAAGGGGCGACTTAACTGCTGTTGCTGCTGCTGCTGCTGCTGCTGCTGCCGAGTAGAGCTGAGAAGATACAGGTAGAGTATTATATGGAGTGAGTGGTGTGGTATGGTTAGGTATAGAGTATAGGTATGGTATGCTCCAACAAAACTTGTGATAAATAAAGAAAGAAGATGTCGAGTAGGTATAGGAATAGAGACCCGGAATTGAGTATGAGCGGGTAGGGACCAGAGAGGAGAGAACAGGATTCCATCCATACACGCGAGTTCACGTGCCAGGGTTCCACTTTGTAGAAGGTCGAGTGTATATAGTCAGTCTCAAACTATCATTGTGTCTTTGTTCTTCCTGGGAGCTGGCCCATCCTGTCTCTTCTCCTCCGTTTCGAGGACACTCAGGGTAAAGAGTAGGAACAGTGTGGGGGAGTAAGCGACGATCGAACGTTCAACACGAGGATCTTCCTATTCTATTCTATTCTATCTGCTCTACCGACTCCACCGCACCATCACCCAGCACCCTACTATACCAGACCAGGTCACCAAATGAATGGAATGCTGGCATGGCCCACGTTTGTATTCGTGACGAGTGGGAGGATTCGCCCATGCCAGTTTGAAGGCCTTTCGTGTAGTACGACCGTGTGATAGTTCTTTACTCCATCCATCTCATTGTTATTTTTTGTTTTTGTTGTTATCTATGTAACATATATCATCAAACGTCTGATTATTTTTAAGCTTTTGATAATAAACTGTTTTCTATTTTTCTCTTCTTTTGATATTTTTATTACTTAATTTAAATCTTACTTTTGTTATTATCTTCATACATATTTCTTCTTCATGATACTGAAGTTAGCAGACGTCTAAAAATTTTTGATTTTTTTTTTTAATTAAATTACAACTAAAAAGATATTTATAAAAAATTGCACTTGTAGTTTTTCAAGTTTTTAACATGTGATATTTTTTTTTTAATTGTTTAATTGAAATTTTTTCGATAAAAAATTTCTAAAAATTTTTAATTGTCAGCTAACTTCATTTTCATTTCTTCCTCTGATATTTAATTAAAACAAACTGGAGAGTATTTGTATTAAATATTTTTCATCCATAAATCCACCTACAAATATAAATAAAAATATTAAACAAATATATGAATATTAAATAATAATAATAAAATTAGCCGACGATTTTAATTTTTTTTTAATAATTAAATTAGGTAGAACAAAAAATATTTTTTAAAAATTGCACTTACAGTTTTTAAAGTGTTTTACAAGTGAAATTTTTTTTTTATTTTTTTTAATCATTTTTTTAATAAAAAAAAAAAAAATTCTAAAAATTTTTAAATGTCGGCTAACTTAATTTTCATGAATATGAAAATATACTGATTGATTTCTTCTTATTTTTTCATCAACAACAACTAAATGTACGATCGGTAAATCCGCGTTTAATTTTTTTGATGCAGGTGGAAGTAATTCTGTATGCGCATCATGATACTTACACATGTACATCACATTACTTACTTACTCTTAATTAAATACAACTGTTTACTAATATGTATACAGCCCGGGACGTTTACCCACGCAATGAGCGAGAGAGATAATCAGAGAGAGCAGAGTGAACGATAAAGTGAAGAAACAATAGAACAGTCTCCCCTCTCCAGCGAGTCGACCGCAACACTCACATACTAAACATACACAATCCAGCTAAACACAAACACAAACAGCCAGAGATCCTAAAATACGATTTCCCCGCAGCCGCTTGCGCGAACAACCTACGCCTCGTTAATGAAAACATCTTTTGTCAATGAACTGACGTCAGTGTGTGCAGCGATTGGTTCTCCGGATGGTACCTCGTGACTTTAAACCAATGGAGGTTCGTCTCTGGTTCCCCCTGCGCTCGTCGGAGCCGCCATTTGCCCATTCTCGACGGAAGGACGCTTGAGGTAAGGTGTGGCTGGCAGTGCCACCAGCAAGCAGCGAGCAGCGAGGAGCGAGGCTCTCGGCATCACGGGCACCACGGGGTTAAGAGTGCTCGGCGGGTTACCGGACGAGGAAGAACGATAACTAGTAAAGCTGACAAGCTAAGCCTTGTGTATGTGTAAGTGTCATACATGTTCTTGTTCTTGTGTTAAGTTATTCCCTATATGTATATGTATGTGTTTGTGTATGTATCACTATGTTGCCGATCTGTTCTGTTGTAATATGTATGTACAATAACAAAAGACACACTGTGTTGTTCTCGTCAACAACACATTATCAAACATGATCATTGTCGTTGTATCGGTTGTGTTCGTTGGTTTGTTGGTTGATCTCCACTGTACTCTACTCTGTTGATCACTGCATACTTGGTTTAGTTTGCTTTAGTTACTTATGTTCATCAGACAAAACACATACACATACATATACATATAATGTAAGTTGTTTTTTTTTTTTTATTATTGTTTTGTGATGAAAATAATAATAATAAATAAAAATAATAATAAATAGCAACGATAACGTTGCGGTAGACAGTGAGGTATTGACGACATTTATTATATCAAGTGTAATTTTGATTACATTTTTATAATTAAATTATTTTATTACTTATTTATATACTTTATTGCTATAAAAATTATAAATAAAAATAGATAATAAAAGTGTTGATATTTTTACAGAGATTAAAATTATTGGAGAATTGACAGAAGAATAAAGTGACAGGAAGTTGAAAAGGTGAGAGTGAGAGAGAGAGAGAGAGAGAAAAAAAAGATAAAAAGAGTAAGAAGATTAAAACAAGATTTTGAGAAAATAGAGGGAGTAAGAGGCAGTGATTCCGGCGTACGCGCAGCATCCCTCCGTGAAGGATCGTCGTGAGAGCTGAGAAGACGAGAATAGGAAGTACAAGGTATAAGGTATATATTGAGTGTACCCGAGGAAAAAGGGCTCTATAAATCTAGGGATGAGGGACAGCGTGGTTGGACATGGTTCGCCGGATGCACAAAAGATAAAACTGCTCTTTAAGGTTTAAAGTGACGTGGGGATGACTTGGTATACGAAAGAGACCGGTTGATGTTAATGTATACGTGAGTAGTTATATGTTTATATATTGTGGTACTGATGATTTATGTCAAGTGGTGTCATGAGACATGTGTGTATATGTGTGGGTAAAAATAAAAGTAAACAACATTCCAGTGGGGAACTTAAATGAATGCTGATCAGTGTTGCTGTCTCAATTAACGGTGGGATCGATAATCGTGAGGTGACAAGTATCTAAAGACTGCTAAAGTAAGGCTGTTGTTTTGCTGCCTGGTTTTAAATTAGCACACAACGTTGCTGGTTTATGTAAGAATATAACATTTACGCTGGGTCAAGAGATCAAATGGATGTAACGACGTTTGCTCTCGTGATTTTTATGTCCAAGTGCCATTGAGACTGTGACTTTATATCATCATCATTATTATTATTATTATTATTATTATTATTATTATTGCAAATTGTTTTTTTATTATTCACACACTTAACTGCTGTCTGCTAAAGATTTAGTGCCATTTATTAATATTGGTCGTCGGTTATTGGTGCTGTTGGTGGTGAAGATAAAATAACATATAAATTATAAAAATCTTAATTGAAGAATTGAAGATGCCGGGTGAAGGAATGGTTGAAGAGGAGGGATACGTGGGGCATGAGTGGTTCTTCAGAGAACTCAGGTCACAAGGTGGACCTGACAGGCTTCTTATTTTGGACTGCCGTGCACACTCAGACTTCTTGGAAGCGCACATCAGGAACTCAGTACCACTGGCCATACCCAGCATCATGCTGAGAAGGTTAGCTGCGGGTAAAGTTGATCTACTGGCTACCATTAGGTGTCTCGAGCTCAGGAATCGAGTCGAGGTTTTTTTGTACGGTGACGACGACAGGAGAGGTACATTTGTACTGATTGGCGATTCGACAGACCCAGCTGGACACCAAGGAGAGACAATACAGGTCTTGAGTCGTAGACTTAAAAGCTCTGGAGGCTATGTTGTTACGCTCATTGGTAAGAATGACTTTTTATTTTTTTTACTCTTTTGTATTATTTTTTTTTTTCTTAATTCTTAATATAACTATGCCCAGTTTTTATATTTATATCTTTAGTTTTATTATTTTTATACTCGAGTCGACAATTATTGGATAAGACCGAGAGGTCAATAGATTTAACTCGACATTAGACGTCAGTATGGGCTTCAATTAACCCACCGTACACTATGTAGGATGATAAATTCGTTTGAGAAAAAAATTTTTATTTTTATTGTTAGTGTTTAATTATCTGAGTAATCCACATATCTATCTATGTACTTGCAGTATAAAAATATTATTTATTACTCATATTAATTCTTAAAATAAATAAATATGATTAAACGATGCTGGTGTTTAATGTCTTGTTGAATATCTATCAAACATCTCGGTAACAATAAGTAGTAACCTTACAGACAGCTGAAGCACAACCGGAGGGGAAGTTGTGAATGAAGTATTGATTTGTGTGGGAGGCTTTCTGGTACAACTCGAGGAGAGACAGAGAAAAAAGAGAGAGAGAAATATAATTTGTGGCTTTAGTTTCAACTGATTCTATTTTATCTATACACGTACATATATGCATATACATCATACTATATAACATTATACCTATGGTCACTCATTCATAGAGGTTGTCATAAGTGTGTTGTCCATTCACACTTATACCGAGATCTTTATTCATTACCGCACCTGATTACCATAAATTAACATCTTTCATTAATAGCAAAAAACACCAGAGATTACTTTAAAAAGCTTTTATTATTATTTTATATCTGATTTACTTACATTAGTACTCAATATAATTTATTTATTATGTATTTTTTAACATCAATGATAAATGTTACTTATAATTTTTAATTTTAGGTGGGTTTGGAGCATTTAGAGATCGATATCCAGAGTGGTGCGAAGGCAGCCAAGCTAATGCTGAAGGACAACCGGGCCAAGAGAACAATGTAGGCGAGTTAATGGGCCTCAGAACTTTACGAATTTCTACACCGCCCACAAGAGCTTACTCAGACTCTGACAGCGATAGCACCTGTGATTCTGTTGGTAATTATGCAACATACTTTTTAAATGCCTGTAATAATTAATTACATTAATTATTTTTTTTTTAATTATGTAAATGAAAATGATTGATACGTATATTTAATTGAAATTTTTGTTAAAGTAGGCCCAGAAGAGGACAAAGACTTTCCCGTGGAAATTTTGCCGCATTTATATCTTGGTAATGCAGCAAATAGTGAAGATCACGATTCATTATCTCGTCACAGAATACAATATATACTTAATGTAACGGCTGATTTACCAAATGTATTTGAGGATGCTGGGTCTATAAAGTACATGCAGATACCTATAAATGACCACCACAGTCAAAATTTAGCAAGTTTTTTTCCACAAGCCATTCAGTTTATTGGTAAGTTTAAATTTTTAATTAGTAATTGAGTAAATACGATAAATGAGAGCACACATGTGATTAGATAAAATAATAATACTGATTAGATCTAATTGATGATTTACGTTAGATATTAAATCCAATCCAATCTTTGCACAATGAGTAGCACACTCATACCCAACTACTCACGATTATTCCCCTATTCGCAATAACGATCAAATGGGTTCAATGTACTTGACTTAATCATCGTAACACTTAATTCGTGCGTTGCGCCAGATGATAGTATAAAGAGATAGAATTTACAGTGTAAGTGGTAATTCACCACTATGCAATCTGAATGCATCAGCATCACCAGTCTGACCACCAGTGTAACTACCAGCATTTAATTTCACTGAACTGATGCAAAAATAGTTTAAACAGCGGCACTTGTTTAGCTCATAATCGCTTTTTTACTACAAAAAAATATTGTCGGAATTCACTTATACTGCTCAGCTTGTTCTTTCAACTCTTTCTTTTTCTCTTATTCCTTTTATTCATTCTTTCATTCAATGACGTAAGTCTAATTTATAGTGTCGGTCTCTCAGAACTAAAATTCCTGGATCACGTTGTCGTCGGCGGCATCTTAAACAGGATTTCCTGTTTAAATACTTGGGCGCCTGGGTGGTGTTTGGGTGAGGGATTTTTTATAAATAGAAAAAATTTCCCACGTGCTGGGCGGTAAATGCTAAATAATTAAACAACGGATGTCCGCTCGGGGATGGGCTACGTCGTTTACACTTGCAAGAAATATCAACAATCACCCTCGACACTTTTGTTGAAATTTTTATTATTATTCCATTTTTCTGTCAGGGAAAAAATAAAACGAATAATTCATGGAAAATATTTGTAATTATATGCTTTAAAAGAAATTATTTTTTAAGTTAAAAAACGAGATTTATATTTTTTTTCTTCAATCATTAAAACAGAGATATAAAAATTTTTATTATTAAAACTATTTTATATATCTATAGTATATTACCTTTTTTTTTTTATTTATTGATAGTCCTTGACATCAGTCATGACTATTATACTTATCTTTATGGCATAATAATGTAGTGGTGTCTTATCGCCTACTGAGTCATGACCAATAGCTATAATAATATTACTAGCTATGATAATAATAATAGTAATAACAATAATAATAATAAAATAAAAATAATAATAATAATAATAATAGGAATAATAATTAATTGATTGATAATATTGTAATTACAGAAGAGGCACGTAGTTCAGACAAAGGAGTTCTAGTTCATTGTTTAGCTGGTGTATCAAGATCAGTGACAATAACAATAGCTTATCTTATGCACAAATGTAATCTGAGTCTCAATGACGCATTCAACCTTGTGAGAAGTAGAAAAACAAACGTCGCACCAAACTTCAGTTTTCTGGAGCAGTTATACAGGTTTGAGAGCGAATTAAGAGATCGAGGTGACCGCAAACGTAATAATCGTTGCATTGGTGCTTGCCAACCTGGCGGGCCATGCAATTGTCCCGCACCGAGCTTCTTAAGTCCCGTTGACCTGGGGCCCAGCCCCGACTCGGGTATCGAGTTCGACAAATGGGCTGCGAGCACTCCTGCTGAATGAGACGGGCCCGGGGGGACCCAGTACAATTTTTAGGTCCCTCCCTATTTTTTTACAATTATTTTTGCACTAAATTTAGCTAGAAAAAGTTTAAACCTAGTAGTGTAAAAAAATTAACGTAGATATTTAAATTTGAAATCATTTTGTCTACGTTATAAATTATAATTTAAAAAATAATAAAATTTTGAATGACACGGCACTGATAAATCTAATGGTCACAACGAATTGATGTCAGTGGTTGTGACTTTCTGGGAGAGAGGAGAATTAACGACTGTTGATGATGATTTTGTTCGCCGGTCGAACTTCATGACAAGAATAAAACTTTTTAAACTTTGATAAAATAAATATCAATTGTAAAATGAAAATTGGTGAAAAAATAATTTAATTGATAAACACATCAATTAGTATATAAATAATGGACACACTATATAAGCATCAAATAATTGTCGCTTTACTATTGTGGTCGATAATTTTCAACCCACTAGTAAGTAAGTCATCAACTATTCCGTTGTAGGATTTTACAAGTTACCCTGCAGGCTGGGGGACGTAAAATAATATTATTAATATTAATACTGTGTACATCTTACCACATTGTATGTATAAACATTTAAACTGTATTTGTCAAAGTATATACACATATATTTTTTTTTTATTTTTTTGTAACAAGCGGTTACGGTCACTCGCGGTTTTGTATAGTTGTATATCAAACACCCGATGACTTAGGGAGAGAGTAGATATGACTGTTGACATTCTACGTAAAAAAAAAAAAATATATTAAAACAATTAAATCTCAAGTTGTTATAGAAAACCTATCGACACTTTGCTATTATAATAATAATAATAATGATAATAATAATAATAATATAATATATTTTATTATTTTTTGAATTTGTCTAGCACAGATTAGCTCTGGAAATTTGAAAGTATTTTGTAAGAAAGAAAGAACTAATGTATCATTTTTTTTCCGTTATTTTTTTAATAAGATAATTTGATCCAATGCGCTAGTGTCATATAGTTTTAAGCTAAATTTATTAGACTACATTAAAATAATAATTAAATTTCAAGTAAAAATTGATTTTTTCAATTTTAAAGAAAATTTAAACATGTACAATTATTAAAATTAATGAAACGAGTATGTATCTGAACAATTGCTCTCGTAATGTCGGTACATATTTTTTTAGAATATAATTTTTTACCTGGTTAGTATCGTCAAATTTAGAAAAAAAAAAAAAAACGTATATATTTTAATATTTCTTCCCTCCCTTGAAAACCGTCGATTATCGAGGCTGTGTTTAATTTTTTTCTTGGATACGGTTTATCAATATTAAAAAAAAAAATAAAACACATTTTAACTGTGTAGAAACGCCTCTCGTAAAATATATATATATATATATATAAAACAGTAAAAATATATTTCTTAAATAAAGATAAAATAAAATTTTAAAAAATTCACATAAAGTTCGACTTGTCAAGCAAATGATTATACGTAGATTATAATGTGATTTTAAAAAAAATTTCCAACAGTAAAAATACACATGCGCGCTGATATGGACACACTAAAGTGACTTATTCTATGGTTAAAACAAAAAAAAATTAATAAAATTGTGTCTTCTACACTTTCTGGCTTCCGGATTGTAACTAAAGTACAGATATGCTCATCGAGCATAGTACAAGTCCCTTTTAAAGAAATGATAAATATATTTAATATTTAATAATAAAATATAAAATTATGTGTATATTAGACCGGTGCATTTTTAAACAGGGCATTCCTCACTAATTTGATCGGAAAATAATAAAAATCATTTAGAGGAAATATTGAATCACGTAATTCCTTCAATATATTATTATATATATTTGTAATAAGCACAAAATTGTTTGTTAATTGTGCAACTTTAGATATTTCATAACAGTCTCGTGAAATCTGAAAGATAATATTAATTTATGTAAAAATATTTAAATGATCATTAATATAAATTTATACATACATGTATATTTTTTTTTACTTATCAAAAAATTTACGGAATTATTACTAAGTATGAGTTTTCAAAACGTAAAATAACTAAACGGCAGTATTCATGAATTTGCCGTAATTTTTATTATCTTACAGATCTCGGAGATATGGAAAGTTTATTTTTTATAAATAAAATATCGAAAATGTAAAAAAAAAATATATGGAAGAAAATGAAAAATTAAAGTGGACTAATGTAAAAAAAAGTAACATTCCAATTACAAAAATTATAACAGGCTGAAAATTGTAACAAGCTCAGTGTATATTATTAAAAAAAAAAAAAAAAAAAAAAAAAAAAAAAAAAAAAAAAATGTAATAACCGTTCACCAATCATAATATTAATGAGTAATATAAATGTCTAATAACGTAAATATTATTTTTCATGCAACTATCTGCGAATTAAAGCTAACCCAGCCTTGTAATTGCAAATTAAAAATAAATACCGGATATTATATATGAGAACTAAAGTAAAAAAAAATTATTATAAATAAATACATTTTAAAAATATATATGTATATATATTCGATGTTAACATGTAATAACAATATTCTACTACTACACTGTTGTCTGTTGTACGTTTTGTGGACGTAATTGTCCGATAATGAAATTAACCAGATATTATATATACAAAAGTATATGTTATTAAATATACATATATAAATAAATAAATATGAAAAAAATTATATATATATACATATAAGTATAAATTATTATTTTGTATTCATCGTTGTAAATACTTGAAACTGACTTGAATTAGCAATACAAATAATGTATCTTACCTGACTTGCACGTTGTTGTTATAATTATTATTATATATTAATTAATTAATTAATTAATGATAACTTATAACTAAATTAATAAAGTAATAATTTCTAATTAAAATATTATTCACGTATGTATTTGGTTCTTGACAAAAGGCTGTAAAAAAATTACAGGCTAATACAAAATTTGTGTTTCACACATTTGAGTTTAATAATTTTTAATTTGTTTATAAACTGCAAAAACTTATTTAAATGTTTGTTTTTTTGTAATAATAATAATAATATGAAAAGCAACATTAAATGTTAATAATGATAAATTGAAAAAATATGTTTTTTTTTTTTAAATATATTAAACTTACTAATGTTAGACAATCAAATCCAATATTTGTTTAGAACACTTGGATACTTTGCCATGAGCATCAAGCATTGATTTACTTATAGAAGATGATTTTAATAGAGCAATTGTACTGTCTGATTGCTTCAATAATTGGACTAATGTATTTTTATGATCGGCATTGTTTACTACCGCAATAAGAGTGCCAAGAGCAACGAGCGCTCGGAAAATAGCTTCTGGATCTTTTAATTTATCCATTAGTACTGTCATTAAATTAAGTATTTTAGTATGACTTGTTATGTCGTCCGAATTTTTATTTAATGCTACTGTTAAATTTAACATGTAAGTGGCAATTGCAACCTGAAAAAAAAAAAAAAAAAAAAAAAAACAAATAAACGTATATGTTTTATCAATTCAATTTTATCTATCAAAATGTATTTTTCTTTTATAAAGTATCAATAAAATACCTGATTATGTTTACTGCCTGCCGAAGGGAGTTTCAGCAGTACATCCAACACAGACTCTGCGTACTGAAGACCAAACTTTTCCCCTGTTTCATGATTAAACATATTGGCTAACAGTCTAAAAATCAACATTTGATTTGCCGCTACTGCCTCAGGCCCAAGATGACGTTGGATTACTGGTATCAAATTTTCACTGCAGAGAATATCGTTTCCTGATTTTTGTAAAACCGCCAATCGCGCAACATCCAGTACAGGAAAGACAAACTCATTTGGCCACTCAAGTAGTGTCCAGAGGGTACTGACGATTTGAGCGTCAGGTTGTTGGAGCTGACCTTTTGCTAAACTAACTACAGCTTCCAAATTAGACTCCGGTATCCGTTTTAAACATTCTCCTAGTTGACTATTGAATTCTTTAATTTTTTCTACAATTATTAATACCACATTAGTATTGAAAAAATAATAGATTTAAAGGGGGAAATACGTGCAAAAGGCTGTTTTTATGCTGATTTTTATTAATATTTTTAATGGATAAAAAATTAATATTATTGATTGAAACTATCAGATTATTTTATAGATATGTTTATGAGTATTTTTTCGTATTAAACAACAATGTAACTTAACAAATAGCGGAGATATCAGCTGATACACATCGTAGGTTGTAATCTGACTTAGCAGTCTGTGTGCAGTATGGAAGCCACAATTTTTTATTTAAAATCAATGGCACAGAAAAATTACTTCATTTATATGTGTCACTTCCATATGAACCTCAATTTAAAAAAAAAAGTAAAAATTTGCATTTTTTGGAGGGCTGTTCAAAAAGTCGTGATTGTATCAGCTACGATGTGTATCAGCTGATATCTCCGCTATTTGTTAAGTTATATTGTTGTTTAATACGAAAAAATACTCATAAATATATCTCTAAAATTATTTCAATAAATAATATTAATTTTTTATACTCACAAAAATTAATAAAAATCAGCATAAAAACGATGTTTATCAGCTGATATCTCCGCTACTTTTTAAGTTATATTGTAAAATATGAAAGAATATAAATATATGTAGAAAATAACCTGATAGTTTCAATAGATAACATTAATTTTGATACCTTAAAAAAATTAATAAAATAAAAATCAGCATGAAAACGTCCTTCTACACGTTTTTTCCCCCTTAATAAATAAATAAATAAATAAATAAAATTTTTACCTAGTATGGCAGCATAATTAGCTTGTTCTAGCTTTATATAACTTCCATGTGGGATGTAAGAGAGTGTTGAAGCATTAGATGAATCAGGTATTGGTTCACGTAAGGTAATACTAGAACTAGGTTCTGGTACGTAGCTGTTACTGCCCGTAAAAGGGTCGGGGTTGGAGGTTGATGCTTGTACTTTAGCATTCGGTTGATTTGATCCAGGTATATATCGGTTGCCGCCAGTAAAAGGGTCTGCTTGTGCTGCTGGCGCATTTGGTAATCCTGACCCAGGTATGTAGCGATTACCACCAGTAAATGGATCCGCGAATGATGAATTTGGATTGAATGATGGTGTGCTATCAGAATTTTTTACTATAAAATTGGCAATCTATAAAATTAAGCAGATAAAAATTATTATAAAATTTTATTTTCAATAAAAAATTATAATTAAATAAAAATCAGGATGTTGTAGACCAAATTGATGTTATGTTTTTTATTTCATTTATTTTAACATGCGACGTTTCGTATTGTAAAATTTTAAGGTATTTATTGAATTTTTTGACTTTTGTATTGAGTTTTTAATTTGACATAAAAAATTTTTAATATTTTATTTGTTTGTAAACACATAGGTGCCTGATAATGTCAGAATGAAACTGACGAAAATAAATGAAATAAAAAACATAACATCAATTTGGTCTACAATATCCTGATTTTTATTTAATTATAGAAGAATTTAAACCTGTTTAGAGCAATAATATAAAAAATTATTATTTAATCATATTCTTATTAGATAATTTCTGTATCTTTATAAAGATAGCTTTAGAAGGATTTCTTAGTATTTAAAAAATATTTCTTAAATATATATAATACTAAGAAATATTTTTTAAATGCTAAGAAACGATGTTTAAGAATTAATTTCTTAAATAAAAAGAAATCTATCAGTTTATCATTATCAAGGCGATTGTAAAAAAATTTTCGACCAAAAATATGCGTTCGAATTTTTCGACAAATCTGCCCGTAAAAATATCCTTAGTATCCAATCAGTAACATCTCCTTACCTGATCCAAGTACATCTGGCTCAATCCATGTTTGTGAATAAATGTTTGTGCAGTATGCCAAGGATCATCAGTTTTATTGTAAGGCAGTTTGAGCGGTGGGACTCCATCCTGAATGTCAATCGAGAAGACATAATCATATTCTTTACCATCGAAAAGTTGCTTAGGTGAATCATTATTGACAGCTCCAACGACGTCGCCTATTTTAATCCACTGCATCTCACTCTGGGACCACGAGTAAGCGATAGCTTTGCCTCCTTGATTGATCATTTTGGTCTGGCCATCTTTTGTTCCTGGTTGAGCCAATGCACTCATCGTCGGCAGCCTATGGAAGATGCCGTTTAAATCCAACAGACATAACTCGTCAGCATCTGTTTGTTATCATTACAACTATTCGCTCGACAAATATACACACTAGCAACCGTTAATAATTACTAAATAAAACCAATACTTACTCATTTATTTTAACATTACCGAGTGCCTGCTGCGATTTCGTTTGGTCATCAATAATTGCTGCCTCATAAACTTTCATTATTTCCGGACTTGCCCAACGCGATGAATCCGCTGAAAAAATCCTGATAATTCCGTCCGATGACCCCGAGACAATGTCACCATTTGGCAGAATGTCAACGCACCAAACTGAGGTCGTCGGAATCATCAATGTCTGATCAACTTTACCATTTTTCCAAATCCTCACTGATTTATCCTCACTGGAGGTTGCTACCAGGCTGCCATCGAACGTAGCGGAAATACTATAGATATAATTATCGTGTCCGTAATAAACTCCCAAATTATTACCAGTGAGAGCGTTCCAGTGTCTGACAGTAGCGTCATTGGCGCAAGTTAAAAACTCGTCAGCCTTTATCGCCGCTATATCTCTCACGCAATCAGTGTGGCCCTCAAGTTTGTGGACCTGAGCACCCTCACGATTCCAAACAATAACATTTTTGTCAGCTGAGCCAGTGACAATGGCTTTGTTCGGAAGGTCAATAACGCACCAGATTGCCAATGAATGACCGTGCAAAGTCAATAATGACTCTTCGACATTATCCAAGCTCCACAGTTTTGCACTGAGGTCCCAGGAGCTCGATAAAAATGTCCCTTCCTCAATTCCAGCGCGTAAATTACACACAGTGTCTGCATGGGCTTTTACCTTTTTCATTGGCTCAGACTCTCCCAATTTATAAATACAAATATGATGATCATTACTACCAGTTATTATTAAACTATTGGGATACTTTTCTGTTGGATTTAACACGCAAACCGAACTTACGAAGTTGGTGTGTCCTCTCAAAATTGTTGACGGGCTGAATTCATAATCGTCTCTGAAAAATATATTTTTTATTTTAGACTAAAGCTTACACTGAATTAAATTTCTATGTATTAAAATTATTGTTGTACATAATTACCGGTTAGGTACCCATACACGTGCCGTTTTGTCTCGAGATACAGAAACAATAGTTCCATTTTCAAATGCCGTGATATCTCGAACGTCTTCACCGTGACCGACCAAAATGGAACTCAATCTGTACGGGAGTTTTTCCATGTCTTTTTCTTTGTTTGTGAGGTTTAAAAAAAATTACGCAAGTCACCCAGAGATAAATATTTCAAATGATACCGATACGGGTAAGATTGATGCCATTGAAATGATACCACAACAGTAATCGTCTCCCGTTAGCAATTTAGGTGGCTCTTGTTTTTTTTTTATTTCCAAAGTTCAAGGTGGTGGCATCTATCTATTCGATAAAGTTTACAAGTTTACAATTTTCAACCATCAGCTGATATTATCGGACTTAATTTAAAATGTATAATAAAAGTTGCGTTATCTAGTTGCTTTATTGTTTCAGACTCTTTGCGATTTTTTTAACAAAAATTAATAATTGTTAACTTAAATTCAACAAAATATTACCAAAAAAATTTTTGTGCCGTTTGGGTTATGGTACTTCGTTAAAAGCGCGCTATTTAATTTTACTTTTATTTATATGACACTTGATCATTTTTAGATTTTTCTTGAAAAAAAAAATATAAAAAGTATAGAAAATTATTTTTAAAAAATTGCATTTACAATTTTTTAAAGTTTCTAAAAATGGAATTTTTTTAAAATAAATTTTTCTTGATGTAATTTATTTGTTAAAAAAATTCTAAAAATTATCAAATCTCTATTTCAGTGTCATTTTTTTATGAAAATAAAGTTAGCCGACATCTGAAAATTTTTATGAACTTTTTTATTGAAGAATTATTTCAAAAAAATAAAAAAAAAAATTTTTATTAGCTAAAAACTTAAAAAACTATAAGTGCAATTTTTTAAAAATATTTTTTAGTTATAATTTAATAAATAAAATAAAAAAAATAAAAAATATCGGCTAACTTTATTAATAATTATTATATCATTTTATTAATAATTGTAAAAAAAGTCTTTTGGAAAATCCTATAACTTAATTCTAGAAATTTAACAATTATCAAATAATACTGAAGTTAGCCGACTACTGTCAATTTTAAAAATTTTTACAAATTATTTAAACAAAAAAAAAATTCTAATTTTTTTTTAATTTTTACTTTTGGAATTTTTTATTACATTTTTTTTATAATAATTTTATCGCTCTAAAATTCTAAAAAATAAATTTTAATGTCTGTCAATTGAAGTTTCATATTAGAAAAGTTAGTTTAAACAATATATTAAAATAAATAATCTTTATTTTGTAAGCTACAGCTGTAGCGTCTACAGCGGTTGGTTGGGGTCATCTGAATAATCTGAATGATCCGAACGGAAATGTAGCCAATGTAATAATTGTAAAGAAATTCAAAAAGTAACTTGCTCTCTAACAAGTTATATACATTTAATACTTCATACATAACACTTAATGTATGTCAAATAATAGTAAATTCTATATAATAAAATACACACATTTGAAACATTGAAACATTGAGCACAATGAAACATTACAAAAGAACGACAATTGATCTGTCTTCTAAGTCTTCTAAGTCATAAGTAAGAAATTAGTTGTCGGTAAGGTAAATTTTTTTAGGTAACTGGCGGTGAAGGAAATTTAAATTATCAATTATTTTTTATATATATGTAATTAGAATAACATAAGAAGAAAAAATTATTTATTTAAATATAATTCGTTTAAACTTAGATTAAAGTTAAAAAAATATAGGAATATCAGATATAATTAGTAAGTTCAAAAATATTAGAAAATTAAAAAAAAAAAAGATGTTTTTGTTCCTTTAATATTGATAAATTTTGAGAAAGTGTATAAATAAATAATAGTTTAAGTTGAAACAAATAAAAAACAGTTTGATTTTAATATTTTATATAATTAACAAAAAATTACTTTATAAAGAAAAATAAATAATTTCCCATTAAATAAGCGATTTTTTGTTTTATTTTAGTAATCAATATTTATATATTTTAATAAATAAAAACAATAAATATTTTCAAGAAGAATTATTCTTATTTAGAATAAAAAGGTTGTGTTTGAATTTAGATTATATAATTTAAATTTCCTCCACCGCCAGTTACCTAAAAAAATTTACCTTACCGACAACTAATTTCTTACTTATGACTTAGAAGACTTAGAAGACAGATCAATTGTCGTTCTTTTGTAATGTTTCATTGTGCTCAATGTTTCAATGTTTCAAATGTGTGTATTTTATTATATAGAATTTACTATTATTTGACATACATTAAGTGTTATGTATGAAGTATTAAATGTATATAACTTGTTAGAGAGCAAGTTACTTTTTGAATTCCTTTACAATTATTAGATTGGCTACATTTCCGTTCGGATCACTCAGATGACCCCGGTTGGTTTTTTTTTCGGAATAATAACAATAATAATCTAAAGGCGGGAAGGTTCTCGGTTTCCTCTCTCGTCGTTGGGTCGTTGGTGGGGCGACCAGGCGTTTTTGGTACGGTGTTAAGCCGCTGTGGCGTGAGCGAGGCGACAGAATCACCATAAAACACATAAAACTTAAGAAAAGTAAATTGCCGGTTGTTTTATCAATAATCACGTTGTGAAGGAGTAAAACATTAATATTTGGTTAGTTACAGCGTGTTTATTAAACTGAAGAAAAATGAAGATTGAAGAAGTTAAGAGCACGGCAAAAACTCAAAGAGTTTCAGCACATACACACATCAAGGGTCTTGGACTTGATGAAAATGGAATTGCGATACAATCAGCAGCGGGACTTGTTGGTCAAGAAAGTGCACGAGAGGTTAGAATTTTGTTTTACTTTTATTAATAATCATAATTTTAATTTATTTAAAAATATTAAAAATATTTTAGGCTGCGGGTATTGTTGTGGATTTAATTAGATCCAAGAAGATGGCTGGCCGCGCTGTCTTGCTTGCTGGTCCACCAGGTACTGGAAAAACGGCAATAGCATTAGCAATAGCCCAGGAACTGGGTAACAAAGTGCCATTTTGCCCAATGGTTGGATCAGAGGTCTACAGTTCAGAAATAAAAAAAACCGAGGTATTGATGGAGAACTTCCGTCGCGCTATTGGACTGAGAATCAAAGAGACCAAGGAAGTTTACGAGGGTGAAGTCACTGAGCTTACTCCAGTTGAGACAGAGAACCCAATGGGTGGCTACGGCAAGACTGTCTCACATGTAATCATTGGGCTGAAGACCGCCAAGGGTACAAAGCAATTGAAGCTGGATCCTTCAATTTATCAGTCGCTCCAGAAGGAGAAAGTTGAGACCGGTGATGTCATTTACATAGAGGCTAACAGCGGTGCCGTAAAAAGACAGGGTAGAAGTGACAATTATGCGACAGAGTTTGATCTTGAAGCTGAAGAATATGTTCCTCTGCCGAAAGGAGATGTTCATAAAAAGAAAGAAGTTGTTCAGGATGTTACTCTTCATGATTTAGATATTGCTAATGCTAAGCCGCAAGGTGGTCAAGATATTATGTCGATGATGGGGCAATTGATGAAGCCTAAAAAGACAGAAATTACTGGTAATTGATTTTTTATTTTTAATTAAATTATTTATAATTTAAAAATATAATTTTTTATTTTATTATACAATTAAAAATTTTTTTTTTCATTTTATGATATTTATTAATAACAAATATCAGGATCACGGGTATTTAGAAAAAACAGTTATATCAATTTAAAGGGTTACATGGGTTTCCTCTGGGAAAAAATGGCCTATTTTCAACAATTTTTTTTTAATAGAAAAAAAATGAAATATTTTATTCTAATTTTTTACTGTCTTAAAGATACATGTTTAATAAGGGATGACTAAAATAAAAAAAAAAAAAAAAAATATTAAAAACTTTGCTAATATGACGTAATTTTTGGCGAGCCCTCGAAAAAAGGATGCGTCCACGTGATCAGTAGAACTCCTAGTAGGATTATTTGAAGTGAAAAAAAAAAAAAAAAAAAAAAATATGTGTTTTAGTTAAAACTTTAAACTAGGTCTTGAACAAAGGAAAAAAAATGAAAATTGGATTTTTGGCAGAGGTTTTTACAAAAAAATTAAAAATTTCGCGGCATTTTTTTTTTTTTAAATAGTTGTAATTGAAAAAAAAAAAAATCTTTTGTTTAAGATCTTGTAAATTATATCTTAAAGACCTGTCTAAAATTTCATCAAGATCGGTGCACGCAACTTTTTAAAAACTTTTATATCTCCGAAACTATTATTCGGATCGATTTGAAACTTTAGGACAATATTCTAGAGATGTAGAATTTAATAAAAACATAAAAAAAAATCGATTTTTTAAAACTGTAAAACCCATGTAAGCCCTTAAATAATCATTGAATTGCAACGTTTCGTCTTTATTCTTAAGACTTTATCAAGCTCTCAAACAATGTCTAAACGATCGTCAAATTAACATAGACATCGTTTGAGAGCTTGATACAATCTTAAGAATAAAGACGAAACGTTGTAATTCAATGATTGTTTAAATTGATGTAACTGTTTTTTCCAAATACCCGTGATCCTGATATTTGTTATTTATATTCATCTGGAACTGAATCGTATTAAAATGAATATTTATTAATTTTTATTATTACAGACAAGCTGAGAAAAGAAATAAACAAGGTAGTTAATCAGTACATAGATCAAGGAGTTGCAGAATTAGTACCTGGAGTTTTATTTGTTGATGAAGTTCACATGCTTGATATTGAAACCTTCACCTATCTTCACCGTTCATTAGAAAGTGCGATCGCACCTATCGTGATATTCGCGACTAATCGCGGTCAATGTGTCATCAGAGGCACTGAAGACATTGTCGCGCCACATGGAATCCCACTGGACTTGTTAGATCGTCTTCTGATAATAAAGACTTCGCCGTACTCCAACACGGAAATTGAACAGATTATTAAGCTGCGTGTAGTAACAGAAGGACTGCAAATAGAAGACGAAGCCTTAACGGCTCTGGGTGAATTAGGAACTCAAACTACTCTCAGATACGTCGTTCAATTGCTTACTCCGGCGTCATTGACAGCTAAAATCAACGGAAGATCAACTATTAAGAAAGAAGACATACAAGAAGTTGCAAATCTTTTCCTTGATGCTAAAAAGTCAGCTAAAATTCTTACCGATAACAAAGATAAATTCATGATGTAATTTTATATGATTTGCTTAAAGTTAAATTTATTTTCTTATAATTATTAACTATTACGGATGTTATTAGTTATTAGTTATATGGATGAATGGATATTTTGATTAATTGATTTAGCTTATAGTTCATAAAAGTTCTGACAAATTTCTGACAAATATACATTAAGATAGTGTTAAGATGAATAAAATATTTTGAAACTTTCTCAGGTAATTGTTTTTTCTTTGAATAATTTATTTATTTATCATTCCATTGATTATTAATGTTAATCTTAAGAAATATAGTTTATTGATCATTAATTTATATGTCAGGGTCAAAAATAAGTTCACTTGTAATCAGACAATTGTGATATTCTGGCGTGATGTCACAGCAACATTAATATAAAACGTGTTAGCCCGCTGACGTTTCTCAGTTTCATATTATTTCTTCAATTTTAACAATCGTCTTTTTATTTTATAATGCATTGTACGCTAAGATTTTCGCGCTGCGTTAAGTTTCTGCAGACGCAAGATAATTTAATGCGATGTGTTCGAGGAGTAGCTGCAGGAACTCAAGCTTTGAAGTTTGACAAATTATTTCGCGAACGTGAATTCCAATCACGACATATTGGTCCAAGAGATCATGAGCAATTGGAGATGCTGAAGATTATTGGATTTAAGGTAAGATTTAACCGTGATATTCATAATTTATAATTAGTTAATATTTAAATTTTTTTTTAGTCATTAGAAGAATTAACGAATGCTGCGGTACCAAGTAATATCAGAAGAGACAAAGATTTAGATCTAGATCAGCCGATCAGTGAGTAGGAAAATATTTATTGTGACGAAACAATTGCTATAATTTTATTTTGAATGCATTTTGTTTATCAATATTTCTTAAACAATAAATTGTGCAATAATTAAACACTAATAATTTTCCATCATTGAGTGATATGATATCTTGGGTCACTAAGTGCATGCTCGTGTTTCTGGATTAAATTCACGTGATTTTTTCAATACAGACTATCTCACACGTGTTCATATTTATTGATATTAATAATCTTATGTTTACTTATTTAAATTATTAATATAATTATATATTTTCAGCTGAGTATGAATTGGTGAAGAGAATAACTCAAATGTCACAGAAAAATAAAGTATGGAGAACTTATATTGGTATGGGATACTATAATTGCTGTGTTCCACTTACAATAATGAGAAATATTTTTGAAAATCCTGGATGGTAATAAATAATAATAATAATAATAATAATAATAATAATAATAGTTTCTTTATTTAGCTTTAAGCTACTATACAGCATACAATGATATATAAAAAATAATAAAAAGATCTTAGATCTTTTATCACAGATTTTACACACTATTTCTATCTATAAATTTCAAAAATTGCCTTCTCTTATTTCTTCTCTTAATAATTTTTTAAATAACACTACATTACTTGTTTTTGTTCTTTGTACCAAGAGTCTATTTTTGTATCTTGTTTTGTAATTATGTTCATTATCTACATCAATTATGTTTAAATAGTCTGGCCATAAATTATTTTTCATCTTATATACAAACACACACATTAAATTTAATTCTTTCTTCAACAGACAGAAAACATAGTGCAGTTAACATAAATTTAATTGGCGTATACTTGTTAATTCTTACTCTGAGAAAAAAAAAATTTTTCTCCAGAAAAAAATTTCTTGGTTCAAGAATGATTTAAAATAAATTTTGGTTTTTTGATAAAAGAATATCAATATCTATCATGATAATAATAAAATATTGGCATTAATTTTGATAGATTAACAAACGAATAGGTTCATTTGAATTAAACAAAAAATAATTCGATCAATTCTTGAGACAGGAAAATATATTCTTGAAAATTATCAAGAATATATATTCTTGTGACAAGAGAATTTTCTTAAGAGTAATACTTTTTTTTCTCAGTATAATATTATCCTCAACGCTCTGTTTCGATACTTTTAATAATAATAATAATAATGTAATGTAAATTTATTGAAGAGACCGTAGGATAAAATCCTCTAACGGCCTAAAGCAGATACAAAGGATATATACAGAGTGTACAATGAAAAGTTATAAACAAATCATAGTTAACAATTAGTAAATGAAAATAATAATAATAATTTCTATAAAGTATTTAAAACCTAATTTTATTGATAGGACAACACAGTATACTCCATATCAACCAGAAATAGCGCAAGGAAGATTAGAGAGTCTGTTAAATTATCAAACTATGATTTGCGACATGACAGGAATGGAAGTAGCAAACGCATCACTTCTCGATGAAGGAACAGCAGCAGCAGAAGCTCTGGGTCTTGCGCATCGTCATAATAAACGTAAAAAATTATTTGTCTCTGATAAAGTTCATCCCCAGACTATTAGCGTCATTGCAACTAGATCATACTCTTTGGGATTGACTCTTGAAGTAGGAGATGTTTTCAGTGTCGACACATCTTCCAAAGAAATTGCGGGAATTCTTCTCCAGTATCCAGATACCACTGGAGCTATTTATGACTATCAGAAAGTTGTTGACAAAGCTCATGCTGATGGAGTTAGTAGTTGATTTTATTTCTGAAAGTAAAAAAAATAAATATTTACATCAGTACTCTAATAAAAAAAACATTCACTCACTAGACTCTAGTTTGCGCAGCGACTGATCTGTTGGCTTTAGCAATTCTACGCCCACCAGGTGACTTTGGTGTTGACATTTGCGTGGGAACTAGCCAACGTTTTGGAGTTCCTTTGGGGTACGGTGGACCACATGCCGGATTCTTTGCTTGTCACAATAAATTTGTGAGACTGATGCCTGGAAGAGTGATCGGTGTCACCAGAGACAGCGACGGTAATGACGCGTATAGATTGTCGCTCCAAACACGCGAGCAACATATCAGAAGAGATAAAGCGACAAGTAATATTTGTACTGCTCAAGCACTCCTGGCTAATATGTCCGCGATGTACGCAGTTTATCACGGTCCTGATGGTATTCGTGATATTTCTAAAAAAGTACATCATCTGACTACTGTTCTGGCGCGAGGTCTTCAAGCTGCTGGTCATCGGTTACACAATGATTACTTTTTTGATACGATTACTGTTACACCTACTCAATCACTGAAAATTATTCAAGACAATGCTGAACGTCATGAAATTAATCTAAGGTGATTCAGTTAATTTAATAAGTAAATTTTAAAATTATTAATAAATTTTAATTTAACATTATACTGTTTAAAATTTTCGTAAACTTTTTATAGTATGTAACTTTTTACTTATACAATGATATTTTTAAATCAAATGTTGAGTCTACGAAAAAAATTAATTATTTTTTTGACCCAGTTATTAACACTTGCAATTTTATTCTAATTAAAAAAATAAAAATGTTCTTAAAAAACTAATTATTTTTAAATTTATAATTCAAAAATTATATTTATTAATTTATTAGAGTCGATTTGTTTTTTTTTTTTTTTTTTAATTAAAATAAAATTGCAAGTGTCAATAACTGGGACTTTTACCTTATGTATATGCTTCAAAATTTAGCTTATTATATATTTAAAAACATAATGATAAAATTACAAGATGAAAATACGCTAAAATAAAATACCGGATTTTGTAAAAAAAAAAATAAAACTTTCGTTGACTAAACTTACAAACTTAACAATAGAATTAGAAAACTTTGTTTTAATTTTGATAAAATTTTTGGAATTTCAATACACGTTTGAGAAATTTTATTAAATGGAATGAAATTTTTAATTAAAACGGTCTTCTATATTTTTGCATAACCGAGTCTGTAAAATTACATGACGCCCATTTATCATAATAGTATAAAAAAGAAAGGAACAATTATCTTCACGAAAATTTGCTTCAAAAACATTTTGGGAAATAATAATTACTTCTTTTTTTTTTTAACAGTCTATTGTCTAATTTAAGAAATAAAACTAAAAATATTTATAAAATGTCAGCTTTATTATTTTTAAAGGTACAATCAAGATGGATCTGTTGGAATATCTCTTGATGAAACAACGACACCAAATGATGTGAATGATTTATTTAAAATATTTGAAGCTAAGCAAACCGTTGAAGACATTCTGAATAACGACTCGCTAGATGAGAAGAATTTAACAAACTCTGAATTGAAACGTACTTCTGCCTATTTAGAGCACCCGGTATTTAATATGCACCATTCAGAGACAAGAATCGTACGATACATGAAAGCATTGGAAAATAAAGACATTTCTCTTGTCCACAGCATGATTCCACTGGTAATTAAATTTTAATTTAAATAAAGCTTTATAATTTGTAATAAAAAAAAATTATTTTAATAAATCTAGGGCTCGTGTACCATGAAACTAAACTCAACAACTGAGATGATGCCATGCAGTCTTCCGGGCTTCGCCAACATGCACCCGTTCGCACCAGTGAACCAAGCTGAAGGCTACAGAGAGTTATTTGGTCAACTAGAAAAAGATCTTTGTGCAATTACTGGGTATGATGGAATAAGCTTCCAGCCAAACAGCGGAGCTCAAGGAGAGTATGCGGGTCTGAGAGCTATTCAGTGTTATCACGAGTCTCAGGGTAACGTTGATAGGAAGGTTTGTTTGATACCGATTTCCGCTCATGGTACCAACCCGGCATCTGCGCAAATGGCTGGCATGCAAGTGGAACCAATTTTCATACGTAAAGACGGTTCTGTGGACTTGGCGCATTTGAAGGAGATGATTGATCGGTACAGGCAGACTCTGTCGTGTCTTATGATAACGTATCCATCCACCAATGGAGTGTTTGAGGAAACGATAGGTGACGTTTGTGACCTGGTACATGAAGCTGGTGGCCAAGTGTATCTCGACGGAGCGAATATGAACGCCCAGGTGGGGCTCTGCAGACCTGGTGACTATGGAAGTGATGTTTCACATCTTAATCTTCATAAGACATTCTGTATTCCTCATGGAGGTGGTGGGCCTGGAATGGGACCTATTGGAGTGTAAGATGATTAATTATTAGTTTTTTAGTTATAGTATTACTTATTATTAATTTTAGCCATAATTTTATTATTAATTTCCCAACATCGAGAAATGAAAAAATGATTTTCGAAAATTACGATCATAGCCGAATTTTTTGAAATTGTCAATTTATGTTAGGAGAAGTTAAAAATTTTATTTTAATTTTTTTCAGTGAATTTTCACAAGATCCAAAAAATTGAAAATTTAAAGATGATGAATAAGAAAACTTTGACCTAATAATTTCTTGATATTTCTAATCACACTGTACATAGTTTGGATACTTTTGAAATAAATTTTAAAAATAATAGTGATAGTACTATCACAGAATCGATTTCAAATAATTTAATGGAAAAATGTGACAGAACAAATTTATAGAACCAACAAATTATTCAAAACTGCTCCAAAAATTTAATATAAAAAATTGACTAAAACCGTAAAAGCCACAAATTCTTGTCAAGACTTTTCTGATGATACCTACCGAATTTAACTGTAAAAATTTCTTTAAGAATATTAATATGCACGTCACAAAATTTTCCTTACTTTCTCAATTATTTAAATCATAAATGACTCGCTGAAAAAAAAACAAACCCAATTTACGATACAGATATGCCTGTTAAGAAATGTTTTTTACTCTGAATTATATAAATTAATCTTTTACCTATATCCACATTTACAGGTACAAAATAAAATAAATAAATAAACAAATGACGGACATAGCGAAATTCGAATCTACTTAGAACTATTTTTAAAACTTATCATAATAAAATAACTATCACTGAAAAGCATATAAAACATTGAAAAGACACTAAATTTAATTTAAAAAACTCATTTTATCATATGAATACGCCGGATACAAAATTTTCTTTATTCTCTTAATTATGTAGATTATTATTACAGAAAACGTCACTTGATGCCATTTTTACCCGGACATCCAGTAATTGATCCAGCAAATGGTCAAAGCAATGACACTGCTGGTCTTGGAACAGTATCTGCAGCTCCATATGGCTCGTCAGCAATTTTACCCATATCGTGGGCTTATATTAAATTAATGGGACCCAAAGGACTGCGCAAGGCTACTCAGGTTGCTATATTAAACGCTAATTACATGAGCAAGCGATTAGAAAAGTATTATAACACTTTGTATAAAGGAGAAACTGGTCTAGTGGCTCATGAATTCATACTTGATGTAAGAGAATTTAAAAAAACGGCAAATATTGAGGTAGTTGACATTGCCAAGAGATTGATGGATTACGGATTCCATTCACCGACTATGAGTTGGCCAGTTCCTGGTACTTTGATGCCTGAGCCTACTGAGTCGGAAGATAAAATGGAGCTAGACAGATTTTGTGACGCATTAATATGTAAGATTATAGTTGAGTTTTTTTGTGTTTAATTGTTGAGATTTAGTTTTATTGAATTTTTTGATGATAATTGTTGTAGCTATTAGAGGAGAGATTAAAGATATCGAAGACGGTAAAATGGATATTAATGTAAATCCCCTGAAAATGGCACCTCATACGCAAGAGCAAGTTATTAATTCAAAATGGGATAGACCTTATTCACGAGAATTGGCTGCTTTTCCAATTGTAAGTATTTATTATATAATTAATAATGATAAAAATAATAATTAATTAATTTAAATAATTACTCTTTTAGTCATTTTCAAAAATTCCAAAAATATGGCCAAGAGTTGGTAGAACAGATGACATTTATGGTGATAAAAATCTTTTCTGCACATGTCCACCAATTCTTCCACCTCAACAATAATAAATAAATAAATAAATTAATAATAATAATAATTTTGTTTTATAAATATAGTTTATTATTTATTAAAAATTATTTTTCTAATGCTATCAACAATTTAATCTAAAACCGTTAATACAAATAATAAATTTTGTTTTTTGTACAAACGTTATAATTAATTTGATCTAACTCGAAAAATTACTTTAATCATCAAAAATTAAAAGGCATTATCTTAAATCTAAGGAAGTTAAAATAAGAAATATTAACGTTATTGGATTACAATCCTGGCATGATGTACGCAATATTATCGAGCATTTCGGATAACATTTCGGGCTCTGCGCCATCAGTTTCCGGGACTTGCTGAGTAAGACACACAAGAGGACCCAATGCACAGAGTAGCGAGTCTAATAAAACTGATAGACTACCAGAAACGGCTATTTGACCCTCGTGTTCTTTCAATCTTTCGCCAATTATAGTCAAACTTTCTCCTAAAAGTTTTAAATGAGCCGCTACGTCGACCGGCTGAGTCCCAACAACCTTGTACATGCCCATTCCTATCACCGGTTCATTGACGAGGTCCTTTCCAATACGATTTGACGTTGGCGATATTGGAGAGTTTCCACCTCCAAAAGGTGCTCCTAATTGTGCTGTCTTTTTCGTGGGGGACTTCATGTCTTTGCCATTACCTATTATCATTAATTCTGTATCACTTACTTTATTCAGTAATTAAGTTATATAAATATTAAAAAAAAATATCTCACCGATCTTATTGATGAACTTTTTTCGAGAACCTGGTGGTGAAATTTTCTGCATTGGCTGTTCTTCTTTCAATACTATTTTAGAGTTAGGTTTGTCAGCCAACCGCTTGGCTCGTCGTCTCCAATTGTATTTCTCCAGGTTGGGTACTGTTGCCCACAGCTCACCAAGCTTTTTAGAAATTGTTGCAAAATCTGTTTTGTAAAGTTAAAGTATTATTAATTTGACAACTTTAATAGCATGTATACACAGTAAAACTTGATTTTTTTAAACTGAACATAGCTGTAAGATAAATTACTTTTTTATTTTCATACTGAGAAAAGAAAAAAAACAATCCAGTTAATAAATGAATAACAATCAACATCGTTACACTTTTTTTTAATTGTAATAATCTGTTTACTATTCTGTGTAAAAATGTATATATTAAGATATTTAAAATTGTAACCATGCTCCTCTTTCTGAATGTACTAAATTGTTTATTTACTCAAGCTATACATTCAAATTTCAATTATATTATTTATAAATAATACAAAATTTTTATACTTAAGCAAATACTTCTAATCTTAATTATATTACTTATGTGAAACAAAATTCTATGTATTTTACTTCTTGCTATTTGGCTTTATGCCTTAGTATTTAAATTCAATAAATAATAAACAATACTGTAAATAAATTAATAATCTTACCCATATTAGGACATTTTTCTAGTAATTCTTGCCTAACTTCTTTAGCCCACAGCATATAAGCAGTAAATCTCGTTTTCTAAAACAAAATACCATCATTAATAATATTTATAAATTTTAGTAAATAAAATTAATCAAGACAAAAAAAATTTACCCCCTTATCTTTCCTCTGAGCTTTCATTCGTCCGATAACCTTTCCATCTTTGATAATCAATTTCTTCCTACATTTTTCCAGCATATAGAGACTATTAGCTTGGGAAGGAGTCTCTTGATCTGGTGGTTCTAATCGTTTGAAGCCCGTTTCTTTCTCATCAATAAGCAAAGGATCAACTTCCTCTTCACTGTTGGAGTCTACAGAGAATCTATCTTCGTCATTAGAAACTTCTTCCGACTCTGACCCTAAACTTTGATCATCTGGATCGGACATTGGTTCCTGTTTGAGTTTCTGGGGACTACCGTGTGTCCCGGAATTTTTTCTATTCCTAGCCTGATTTTGGGCATTTAATTCCGCAGTGGCAGCAGCTTGTGCTTGCTGAGCTTCAAATCGCTCCAGTACCTGCTGTGCATGAAGTTGTTGAGCTTTTTGCTGTCTTTTGAGTTTACTGTCAGTGATATCATCAGGAGACTCAAAGTCCATCAATTTGGAGGATTTCTTCCTGACTCGGCCACTCCTTGATACACCCGTCACTTCTAAAACTGAAGATTATAAAAGACTACATCTTGCCAAGTATATTCTCGAGACCAGAACTAATTCCATTTTTATCTAACTACAGCAATCAATTAATTTTTTTATTTAAATCTTCATTCAAATCTAATTTTATTATTATTATTATTATTATTCAATTACTACTAAATACAACAAATACTCAAAACAAATTTCTACGTCTTTTTTTATTTTGTAAAAAATTGTAAATAAAAATTACAAAAAATAAATTGATAAATAAATTAACTATTAGAAAAATTAATTGTCAATTTTATACACAAAGATCAATACATCACCAAAAAAAAAAAAAAAAAAAAAAAAAAAAAAAAATAAATGAAAATTTTTTAGACTACTCCGGATTCAGAAAAAATAAATAAAATTATTTACGAAAATAGTTTGAGAAATAAACCACTTAAACACAAAGTCGCTAGTGAAAAACTAACCTATAGAAATACCAAAACCCATTAAAAATTATAGAATCTAAAGAGTTACACCAGAAAATCATGCAGAAATTAATAGATAATAAATATTGATGCTGAAAATTCCCTCAACTAAACAAAACATTCTTATTTTATTATTAATAATAAACATACCGTCTACTTTAGGACGTTTTGGAGACGCGAACATGTCCATTGCGCCAGTCAACTGATCGTCTGGTTTCTTGCGCCGTGGTGTTTTGTCGTTTTTCGCGGGCTTACGAATTTCAGACGGCATTTTTGTTAATTTTTTTTTGATTAACACTTAGTTTAATTTTATTATAAACTTTACTTTGATTTATTACCCAATTCTTGCTTGCGTAAACACTTTAGTGTAAATATTCTCAACGGCCAAGGTGTTTTTAAAAACATCTACTGAACTACTGTACAATTACGACGTAGTTTATTTACATTTACTGCGCATGACAGTAGGATCACTAAAAATTTAAGCGGGAAATTTTAAATTATTTTATTCTTTACATTTTAAATAAAACAAATTTTTATTTATTTATTTTTATAAAAATAAAAATAAATAAATTTTATACATGTTTTATTAAAAAAAAAAAAAGAAAAATAACATCGTTTTAATAACATAAAAAGGCAGAAATAATTTTTTTTTTAATAAAAATTTATTTTTTAAAACAAATCAATATTTTTTTTTTAATTCTACATTATTTATTTAACTAGAGATACTTACCGAGTTAATTTCATAATAAATTTTTTAAATTATTATAATAATTAATTTTAATCTTAACGAGAAATTGAAAAAAAATAAGCACATATTTTAAAATAATTCATTTATTAATAAAAAAAAAAATCAAATTTCAAAAGTATCCTATTTTTAAGAACTTAATATCTAAAAATCATCTTCTTGATCCCAACCATCATCGTTGGATAAAAATCGTCGCTTATGCGTGGTGTTCATGAAAGTCCCCAAGTTCCATTCAGTGTCGGCAGCCTCAATAGAATCCATGGTGCCTAATTTTATTTTATACAATTTTAATGTAAACCTGGGTCCAACTTCGGTCATCTCAACATCTTGCCCACCGGATTTCTTGTAAGTATAGTGTCTAAATGAAATGAAGTCATCGTGGTTAGCAAAAGCCATCACACGTTTGCTGTCTTCTTTAGGTACCGGGAACAAGTGCTTCAGGATGTTCATCGTCCTGATACCCAGCGTCGATTTAAAATTGTGAAAAATTAAATGCGGATACTGCTCTGACATAGTACCGATTTCAGGAATGTCATGTCGCATTACGACGTTTGACAGAGTGAAGTAAGCAGTCGGGCCGTAGGGTAGGTGACAAATAACAAGATGGTCTGGAACACCACGGTGCTCGTGAATTACAATAAAATCCGTGACTTGATTAGCTCTGCAGACTTCGATCAGTGTTTTCATCTCAGCGTTACCACGATTTAATCTCTGAGCTGTGGGAAAAATAAGACGGACTTCTTTGACGAATTTTTTAAGACGAGCACTAGGGTCACGTGAAGTTGTCAACATTATTTTTGGATCTTCGACACCGGCCCAACGGTACTCATCATCTTCGTGAGTCCCAGTTGTCCCACCCATTTCTGTTCCCATGGCAACTGCTCGTTCTGGACCAGCATCTTCCCAGTCCAGTTTACGTTGTAGGTACAAGGCATCTTTCCTCAGGTCAGGGTGGATTGGAACGTTGTTTTCCAAACTTTTTTTCAACTTATCTTTTTTCTCTTGAATAGTTTTTATTTTATCTTCTTTAGATTTACGATAAAGGTACTCACGTCTCAAACGTGCTTGTCTTCGTAACATTTTTATTTATTTATTTAATTTTTACTTATTCAACTTATTTTTATTTTACCACGTGCTTGATATCACTGTGTATTTCAAAACATAACCTGAACTATGTCACATTAAATAATTAAATGTGCCTGAAATTATTTTACTTGATCAATGCGACATCTAGGAATTATAATTAAACTATAGTTTTCTTTTTTTCTGATGATATGTCACTTTTCTTCTTTATCAATTTATAATTTTGTAACACAGCATCTGCATCTGTATAAGTTTCAAAATTTTTAATAATAATTGTAAAATAATATAAAAAAAGTGAACATAAAAAAAAATATATTACTATCATTTTAAATTATTATTATAAATTTTTTTTCTGTACAAACATGATAAATATATTTGTCACACTTTAGGAACATTTGCTTTTTTAAACTATTACTTTATATTATTCATTGTGCTGTTTTTTTGTACATTAATAGACTTGCATAATTATTAAAAAAAATAAAAATTGGTGACTTTGAAACGTCTCACCAATTTTACTGATGAACTTTTTACAAGAATCTGTTGGTGAAGCTTTCTGTATTGGATGTTATTGCAATTTATCATTTAGATTTAGCAGCCAAGCGTTTGGCTCGTCTTTTCAAGTTATATTTTTGCATTTGTGAGACCGTTCCCCAGAGTTCAGCAAGCTTTTTAGAAATAGTTGTGAAATCTGTTGAATAAAATTTAATTATTTATTTTAATAACGTAATACTTCCAATTATTTTTTAATTGAAGAATGAAAAAAATAATCAAAATATTACTGTAAATAAATAAATAAAAATTCTTACCCATATCGGGATTTTTTTTCAGTAAATCTTGTCGGACATCTCTCGCCCAAAGCATGTAAGAAGTAATTCTCGTTTTCTAAAAAGAAAAAATAAAATTATTATTGACCTTTGAATTTTAAAAGTAAAAATAAATAATATCAATTAAGACTCACCCCTTTATCACTCCTTGAAGCTTTCGTTTTTTCGGGGATCTTTCCATTTTTTGGAGTTAATTTTTTTGAGCTGTTTTCTCGCAACAAAAGACTGCCAGTTCGAAAAGGTTTCTCTGGATTCACTGGGTCTATGAAATTGGTTTCTTTCTCATCAATATAAAGCGGATCAGGTTCTACTTTAACATTGATGTCTACAAAATCAAAGTGTCTATCCTCTTCCTCCTCTTCCTTAACAATTGAATTTGATTCATACCCTAAAAGTTGATCTTCTGGCTCGGTTTTTATCTCTATTTTGACTATAGGGGGATTATCGTGTGTTTCGCAATTTTTACTAGTTCTTGTTTGATCTTGGGCAATTTCACTGTTGACAACAGCTTGTTTTTGTTGAGTTTCTAATCTCTCCTCTGCTAAATCATGAGCTTCCATGTCCATCAGCTTCGAAGATTTTTCCCGCTTCTAAATACATCCGTCACGCTTCTGCATTTTTTTTACCCATTTTAGAAACTGGAAAAAAAATTCATTAATATCATTGTCATCAAATCTTGAGTAAAAAAAATCTTTGATTGTTAAATAATATTTATTGTAATTAATTTTTTACTTTTAATTATATTAAATTTTTTCTTTAATATTTATTATGTACTAAATTAAATAGTTAATAATTAGAAATTAATATTGAAGATTAATAATTTAATTAATTACATAATATTAAATATTAAATTTAAAAAATAAGAAATATTTATAAAATGAATTATAATTCAAAATATATAAAGAGATATTTTAATTATAAGATTAATATATTTAACCAAATAAAATGGTTGAGTGCTTACTTATCAAAAAATATGATAGTGAAATTAGCTGACAGCTGTTAATTTTTATAATTTTTTAGCAAATTAATTACAATAATAAAAATGCTTTCAAAAATTTTCACTGGTAATTTTTTTTAAATTATCATATGTGAAATTTTTTTCCTTTAATTTTTCGTTCGTAATAATTTTATTACTATCAAATTATAAAAAAATTTTTAATGTCTGTCAGCTTTAGTGATATTGAAAAAATTTATAAATTTATTAATTATTAAAAATATATAATACTTACAAAAAATTAACCTAAAATATTTTAAAACACTTCTAAAGTTTTTCCACAAATTTGATCACTTACAAACTTTAATTTTTATTTTTATTTCTGCAATTTAAATGAATTCTATAGATTGTTAAATTGTTTTAAATAAATTCTTTTGAATTTTAATATTTTAATAAGTAACTAAAAATGAAAACATTTGATATTTCTTTTTTATTTTTATAAAATTAAAGATGACCATGAGACTGATTTCCTTCATAACCAATCACATTACGACTTTATCAATACGCGGTATGCGTCGGACTAATATTCAAATCGCGCGGGCCACATAGAAGTTCAATTTCTACCGGTAGGTGGCACGGAGTGTACCGTTTCAGAGGCGAGTGCTTTAGTTCAGAGGTGGGGATAGTTCAGCACAACGAAACCCGACACCGGTAGTGAACATAAGTAAGAAAGAGTTAACGAGAGAATAAATCTAACAAAAAAGTAATATTTATATCATGGAAATATAAGTCGTCTTAGGTAATGTCAACATGATGATAAACAAAGTAAAAGATGATAGTAAAATACGAACAACGTGGAGATTAATTGGTAAAGCAACGTTTCAAGTTTATCTTTTTATGTCTTGGTCCATGACGGGATATGGCAGGCGTTCGAAAATTTTTTAGTTATGCGTTAATTAGTAGAGCATCTATTAAATTACAAGAATTATTAATAAAAATTAATTTAGCAGGAACTTGATAATTTTTGCAATTTTTTTAACAAATAAATTGTGGCAGAATAAAATTAAAAAAAAAATTGACATTTTTTATAGACATATAGAAATGAAATTAAAAATTCAATTTTTTTAAAATAATGTTTCGGAACAAATTTGTTTGTATTGTTAGAAAAAATTAAAAAATGGTTATGTGACTGCTAACTTCAATGCTATGAATTATTGCAATTTTTTTCAGTAAAAATTTTTTTTATTTTTTATGTTTAAATAATTAAAAATTCTTTTACAATTTTTTTTTCTTTTAATTAATCAGTTGTTAAAAAAATTGAATATTTCCAAACTAATATTAAAATCATTTTTTTATTTTTGTAAATTAAATCTCAAAGATGAGTCAATGTGAATATGGAAAATAATTTTGTTAAATTCACTTTGCGTGTATATGAGGATCTATATTTACGTACATTTTCTGTATTTTTTGCGTTGCAATATATAGTCGTTGATAAACTTACGTTATGAGGAACAGTTAACTCCAAAATATACATCCAATTTACTTTTTTTTTTAATTTTTAATTTGCTTATTAAAAATTAAAATTGTCTAATGTCTACTGATCAGTAAATTTTTTTTAATTTGTCATGCAATTTTCAGGATTTTTACTATTAACATTTAATAGATTTAATAATAATAATTGCACTGCTATTTTAAAAATAATATGTTGATAACTTAAGTGAGTGTAGTGAAATATCGTGTTATTTAAAAGCTTTTTTTTTGTGTTCAAAGTGTCGCGTCGTGAAAGTATTAGTCGTTCGTTTAGTTGTTGTTTTAACTTTTTAGTGTTTTGAAAAACAGTCTAGAATCTCAGTGCCAATCAAGCAGCGGGAGATGCTGAAAAATGTATTGGAGGTCACCAGAAATAAGTATCTGTAAGTCTCAAATAATTTTTTTTTTTTTTTTTTTTCTATTAATTATTTGCATTTTAATAATCAACTAACACTTATTATTTTTGTGATTTTACGAAAATATTTATCATCCAAAAATTAAAAAAAAAAGTTCAAAAGTTTAAAATATTTTTGATTTAATTAACTTTACTTTTTATAGGATTTTATATTAATAAAAAAACATTAAATTATATGAGAGTTCATTAACTGAAAAGATAATTTACGACTTTATAGCTGCTCAGAAATTCATTATAAATTAAAACTAATATGAGGATATGTTTCACGCTAATTCAAACATATCTAATATATCTACAAAAAAATTTAATGTTTCTTGTTGCTAACATAACATAATTATTTTAAAATTTATCCTTCTTAATAACAATTCAATGAATAAAAAATATTTTCATTCAACTTTTTACCCCAATTAAACACCCGACGCAATTAAACATCTCATAATAACAAAACATGAATGATACGATTGAAAACAATGAGCAGATAGATAAAAAAGCGGAGAACATTTATTAGTCGTGTACATAAGACGCCTCGTAATTCATTTAAAGAGCAGACTGCGTGCGAGACAAGCTCAATTACAACCGGGTGAAAATAAAAACAAGAAAATAATAAAAAAAATTCATTTGGCGGTAGGACTTGAAACACACACGGTTGAGGCCGCTTCCTGGTACGACGCGGTGGTCCTTAGGGTGTTATTGTGAAGTACTATGTCACTATTCTGTCGTACTCGTGCCCGTCACACGCAATTATTCAAAATACTTACTCACTGCAGACTTAACTGTACTAACTAATCTCAATGTGACATTAACTGTCAATTGTCTCAAGAGTCTCAAGAAATTTAATTATAATTTTATTTATTAACCACAATCTTATGATTTTGCTTTATTAGATTTATGATATATGATTAGTATCTTCATCATCATTGTTATCATTTATACTTGATTAAAAAAAGTATATTCAATTGATGAAAAAAGAGTGAGCCTAACCCACATAATCTCACGGAGGAAGTGATATTTTTTGCTAATTAACTCAATAATATCGTCAATCGTTGTCTCAGTTTTGTGTAAATATTTATTGTATGAATATTCAGCGATATTTATAGATATATAAATTTTTTTCTATAAAATAATATAATGGAAAGTACCCAGTAGCTGCTCAGGAACCAGTACCTGCTCACTCTGTGTATTTGTATATCTATATTCACAAATGCAGATATACAAAAAGTTTGGAAAATCCAAATGAGCATGCCTTAAGCGCTCATGTCATACACAAATTATTTAGATCGTAACAATAAAAATTATTCGTTTTTTTGTTTGAATTTTCCCGCGAGTAGTATTATCCCCTCTGTAGGTCGAGCTAAAGAAAAATTTTAACAGATGATAAAACAGTAATTATACCATTATGTATGTATAGTTTTTGCTTGTTTATAGTTATTTTAATCCTGTTTTATGAAAAATAATATATATATATATATATATATATATATGGCTGCCGAAATCATAGAAGAAGTCACCAAACTGGCAGTCGGAAAAAATTAACTGTATCGAAACGAAATTATTTTGACACGCAATTTTCACAAGGGTTTTGACAAACTTCCTAAGGAATACTTAGAACAAAAAAAAATTAAATCGTAAAAGTGATTTTTGACAAAGTTGTGGTGTTATCAAGCTCAGTGCTCCCGTGAATACCACGCTTTTATTCATTTAATTCATCAAAAAAACGAGTTTTTTTCTGAGAAATCTTATTTAATCAATAAAAAATTTTTTAACTTGTTCTGTAGTTATTATTATTCATTTCAATATGCTTTTTATCCATAATTTTTTTCATTTACATTATGAAAATCACGTTTTAATCGAAATCACGTTTTTTTAGACGAGAGTAGAGCATACCTGCGCGCTTCGCGCTTAAGGTATGCAATACATAGAGTGAGCAGGTACTGGTTCCTGAATAGTTATTGGGTATTTTACCATACTTGAAAATAAGCTTCAGTTATAGAAAAAAGTAAACAATATACTTTTTTAAATATAGTTAGTTGCAACCGTGTTGTTTCGTTTTCCGTTACGTTGCAACTATCAAAATTTTTAAATTCACCGTCGGTGAAGAATACAATAAAAAACTTTGCGTGATTGCGTCAGAAAAATTTGTGTTAAATATTTAAAACTTTTTCGTGTTGATTTAAGAGAATTAACATAAAAAGTGTTAAATTTAGATATAAAAACGTTAAATATTTAACAAATAATTTTTTGACGCAATGAAGCAAAATTGTTTTTGTGAAGTTTCACTCAAACAAATTAATTTAATTGAAGAGAAAAATCTTAAATCAAAAAAATCATTTCAAAGAATTTGATTTGAATTAAATAAAAAAGTTCTTGAAAATGATGTTCTTGGTTCAAGGTTATTCCTTGTGAGTGGTTAATTTTTTATCAGTGTATTTATCTAAATAATAATTTCTTCGCTTTAAAAAACAGATTATTGTTCATACATAATATCAAATTTTGTAGAAAAATAATAATAGCAAGCAGAAAGTAGAGAGTAGAGTAAAAATACTTTCGACGGCTAGCCGACGATAAGATTTCAGGCGTAAATGCTAAAGAGCATGTCGAAAAGAGTCTGACTAACTCTGTCGGGGTGAACTGGCTCGTTTGTGAGTAGTCTCTTAAGCATGCTATGCGGGTCCTTACACATATACACATGTTTGTACAGACATATATGAGAG